TTTTATCTTGGCCTGAAAATAAAACTGAGAATTCAATATGTTCAAATTTATATCAGGAATATCGTATTTGATGTGAAAGAAATGGTGAAAATTCATTTACTAACAAAAAATTTGGAAAAACTCCTCCAACAATTGGTATAGAACGCAAGCAAGCACGAATCAATGGAAAAAGAGACTGGGTCTATACCCTTGATTGATCCAAAATCGTGAGTAAACTATGTGAATCGGGTATCGATATAGAAGAATTTTCCGACACACCTCAAGGCGAGATAATCTCCAATGCGTCCACAGATATTCCTGTATTTAACATACCCGAAATTGTAGACCCAAAGGGTCATTGCTTTGCAATAAATCCTCAACCAGCGAAAAATATAGCCGGGTCGTCGACCACTGATTACATCGAAAAAGGTAAGGAAATAGTATCCACCCCTCCTATTACTAACATGATCCAGGATCTCTTCGATTCTATAACAAATAAAAGTTTAGTTGCTTCGTCATCCAAGTCTACCGATATATCTCCGCCACCTGAGATTGTACACGTAGAACTTGTGGACGATAAATCCGAACCAGTTTCTGAGATCATTAAACCAGTGAATGATAAAGTTGAATCTCCAGAAATTATCGAATTGATAAATGATCCCGAAATCTCTCCCGACTTACCTATAAACAATGAACCAAAAACCATTAACGAAGTATCTCTCCAGCAGATATCATACCCACCCGGATATCAAACCAGGGAGCAACGAGAAATACGATTAAGACAAAAAGTCATCGAACTTGGTGAGGATCCAGATAAGTTCGTTACTATTACTGAAAAAGATAAGGATTTGGCGAGAATTTATTATGATAAAATGATGGCAGATGCGGAAATAATTGAATTTGCACGAAGCGATGGGATCGATCCAGAGAACTATATAGAACTGTCCAGACGAAAAAAATTAATATGTATGGAGATTGATCTTTGGCTATATGAAGATAAAGACAAACCCCGAGCCTATACATGTATTTATAATGATGAGGACTGGGCAAAAAATATAGAGATACTCCGGGAAAATTGATATCTATGATAAGTTATTTTAACCACTTTTATTATGCTAAGAGATAAATAAGGTGAGTTTTGCAAATAGGAGCTTCGCTATAGGGGAATTTTTTGCTCCTACAAACTAGCTGATATAAAATTTTTAGATAAAAAATATTACGCAAACTTTCGATCTATCTTGTGTCTTATTCATATTCATTTCTCGTTAGAATTACATTAATCGCCACCCATTCAATTTTTGGGTATAGCTATCCGCGGATAATTAATTTCGATTTGAAAAAATATATTTCATAGTTATAGTCCGCAAAATTATACCGCATTAACAATATCAAAGGTAGCTACAAATTTCATAAATCAGTATAACTTAACTCCTCAGATGAGTATAGCTGAGCTTGGTAATTATGCTGAAAAAATATGTAAAGAGATTAAAGATTATAAAGCCCGTGATCACGCTTGAAATAGGATTCAGAAGTTAGAGTTTAGCAAAGATCAAACATATACTTTAATTCCTATCCAGGCTTCTGGAAGGCGTGTTACAGGGTGAGACCCGATTAAAAAGCTCGCTCAATATATTAGAAGAATAAAGATAATCTTGAACTTGAAGAGATAAATATGCTAGCATATAACTTAGCTAAAACAGCTCCTACCGTAATAGCCCAATTATCGCGTCTTAAATTGCTCTGAAAAGAATTACGCAATCTCAATGCTAATTATCTTACATTAGAAGCAATATATATATCTGATATTACTCAAAAATCAAATAAAGAGCAAGCAATAAATCAGGAACTCCGTGAAGATGAGGGATTCGATTGTTTAGAATTCTTTTATCTGAAAAATGTTCAGGAAAGACTTAGTAAGTGTGATATAACAAAACCTCTCTCTATACAAAATTTAATTGATATAATGATAATGTTATATATGAGACCAGCAGATGTGAAAAACCTTTGTATTAAGTATTATAAAGCAGATACTACTGAATGGTATAATCCTAAATATTCTTGGTACTGCACTGGATATGTCAAAAATAAAAAAGATGAACCTAGATCATTAATATCTATGGAGAAAGATTCACTACTGGCTAGAGAATTATTTATTTGGATCCAGAAAGCAATTTCTAATAAATTCCCATTTTTAATAAGAGATAAAGATGGTGATGTAAACATCCATCCAATTAATAATTTTCTAGCAATTTATAGAATAAGCTCATCACATTTGAAAAAAATTGGTTTTGAATAAGGATGGTTGCCGAAATGACATCATCTAATTAAATAATTTGTCGAAATTAACTTGCCGAAATTAAATCCGAAATTATTATGACTTATTTTATTAGTAGCTGAAATTGTTTTCCGAAATTATTTGGATTCTACAAATCAAAACAAGCATTTCTAGGTGGTTTTTAAGTATTCATTAATATAAGCAACATAGCAAAACCGAATTATTTGCCGAAATACCATTTTTTCCAAAAATAATTTAGGAGACCATCTTTATTATATAGATAATTTATAAAATTTGATTAATTAATATATATATAAAAACAATAAAAAATACAGAAATTATAAAATTTTTTATAGTTTTTGAAGTTTATGAAAATTATAGAGATTATAGGAATTATAAAAATTATGAAAATTATAGAAATTATAGAAATCATGAAAATTATAGAAATTTTAAATCATAACAATACAGTTATGATAAAAATTAGTCATAATGATATTTAGATTACATATTTAGTTCAATAATATTCTACTTCTCATCAGAAAATTTTTATATTTGATTATAATTTAATAATTAATTATCATCGATTGTTAATAATCGATTATAATCAATTGCAATTAGATATAATCAATAATTATTAAAATCGAATATAATTGATTTTTTGTTTAGAATCAGTAAACATCTATAATCAATGATCATTGATTTTAATTAATCAATTGAAATCACTGCAGATTGATAAATAATAGATAATTGATTACAATTAATAATCGATTCTCATCGATAATTAATAATCGATCTGCAGTAATTATAATCAATTGTAATCGTTTATAATTGATTATAATTGATTGTAAATGATTATTAATTCATCTTCCACAAGCACATATACAATATTAAGAAGTTTTCAAAATTTAATTCTTGATATCAATTTAATAGATATTTCAAGTAATATTTTATATTATAAATATTTTATTAATATAATTATAATTGAACAAATAAATAAAAAAATTATTGCACGAAAACATACATTTAAAAGGTCTGCTATTTTAATTTGATGTTCACTAAATCTATTTTGACTTTTTTTTATATTTCTGATAACAACGTCTTGATTTTCCATTGTTCTTTTTTGTTTCTCAAATATTGCTTTCATTTAATTAAAATATTTTATTTAGTAGTATAATTAATTAAAGTACTATTCATAAATTAAATATTATTATTTTGCTCTCTTTATATTTTATTTTATTTTAAATTATAACAATTTTAGTAGAAATTAGTATAGAATTTAGATATATTTTTCTTATTATTCTTATATTTGTTTAATTATCTCTTTCAATCTCAATTCATATTTATTAGCTAATTATACAATCAATAAAAAAGTATAACAGTATATAATAAATAATTTAATTATTAAACTTTGAAATTTAATTTTGCAATAATTACTAATTCAATCTCTATGAAATTTAAAATATATTTTTATTAAATATATAAAAATATATAACAATTTGCTTGTGTAATTTGAAGTTCTAATATTATAAATTAATAAAAATAATTTTTTATTTTATTTTTTAGAAAAGTAATACTTTATATATTATTGAATAAAAGTACAAAAAAATAATATAAATAATTAGTTTAAATTATTTTTACTTAATATAAAAAAGTATAGAGTTTAGTTAAATTTTGAATGACTTTTATTAGAAACAATTATTAATTTTTATTTTGAAATGCAAATCTTTTTGTACCGAACTATAAAATAGAATAAAAAAATATTTTTAATAAGAATTTTTGAAAAGAATTTTATGAAAGAATTTTGTAATTTATTGTCATGATAATATATTATAGAATTCCAAATTCAATAGTAATAGGAAACAAAAATATATTTTTTAATTTATAACTCTAACTCTACTTTCTTAGTAAATAAAAAACATAATAACATATTACATATATGATAAATTATAATTCTCTTTATAAAAATATATTTTGTGATATAAAAAAATATTTATAATTTAAAAAAATTTTTTTAGTTCATTTTACTATGTTTTATTAAAATTCATTAAAATAAAGCCTTTTTTAAATGACATTTATTAAATAAAAATGAACTAAAAAAATTTTTTTAAATTATAAATATATTCTTTATATCACAAAATATATTTTTATAAATTCTTTTCAAAATTTCTTATTAATAATATTTTTAAATAATTTTTTATCCATTTTAATTGTTAAAAATTATAATTCGTCATATTTGATACAAAATTTCGCAAAATATTCTAATATCCTAAAGAATTTATCTACAAATTTTCACGACTTTTGAAAATTTCCTAATTAAGATATAAGCAAAAAACATGTTCGTCATTATATCCGTGCTAACTGTAATATATTTGACAAATATAATAGCTTGTTATTTCTCTTTTAACTTAATCATAACCAAATCTTTAATATAATTATTTTCCTGAACATTTATTCATAACATTTTGTTTAATCAACTGAATTGATGATAACATGCAATCATTATTTATCCAACTTATATAACCAAATTAATTACTAGTCATGTATTATAATATTACAAATTCATATAGCTTATAAACATTTAAATTAATATAAATAATTATATACGTAAATATTAAAGAATTAAATATTAATTGTGTTGTGTCATCTGCTTTAATATTAAAGTAGTTGAAAGAATGTGAATTCAAATAAAGACAAAAGAACAAATGGATCAAGTGCAATAAAAATGATGTATAAATTATAATACAATTTACACTGTTTCGTAGACATTTACCGCATAGAATACCTCCGTATTATGGATCATCATTAATTTGCCCCTGAATTTATATAGAAAACTGAATCACGCATTAATTAATTAAAATGAGATAGTTGATTAATAATCAAACTCCGCATTGGTCCAGTGGTTAGGATTTCGCGCTTTCACCGCGACGGCCGGGGTTCGATTCCCCGATGCGGAATTAGTATTTAATCGTAGGAAATTTTATTTTAAAAAATTTCTACGATGTGTATTAGTTGTGATGACAATTGTTATTATTATTATTGTGTATGAAATCGAAATTTTTAGGGAGAAAAACAAATTATGGAAAGATAGTTAAAAAAAAGATAATGGTAATGATGATTAAGAGAAAGGAAGAGAAGGAAGAGCATTTAATTATTATTATTATTATTATTATTATTATTATTAAATATCCAAAAAAAAACTTGATTGTTCGTTTTGTATCTCGATTCTCATTATTATTGAAATCACACCGCTTCTTCCTCTCCCCTTCTTCTATTCTGCTTTTTCTTCTCTTTTTGTGTGTTTCGCATCATTTTTTTCAATACGAGATCTTTTGTTTAACGAAAGATTCGCCTAAAGTTACATTTTGTTGTTGCCTTCCTTTCTTCCCGTTGATTGGCGCACGCACACCATAAAGTAAGTAGTGAAGTATCTAATCTATCTACATCTATAATCTATCACTCTAAGACTTTTTGTTGTCTATCAAATAAAAATTATATATGTAGAGAAAATCAAATTCTGATGGTTTGACAAAGAAGATAGTAGAAGCAACAATAGTAATAGTGTATCTTATCAATTGGTAATAGTATTTTTGTTAGATTGACTAGTATCACTACCATTACTGCCAACACTAATGCTATTACTACCATTATTGCTAGTACTACTGCCATTACTACTACTACTACTGCCATTACCACCACTACTGCTATTACTACTCTTATTTTGATTTGGCCGAATGACAAACCAATATATTGCTCCGGCTGCAAGTATTAGTATAATGATGGCAATCATTAAACACCACCATTTTTTCTAGAATAATAATATAAAATAATTAGTAGTAATAATAATGAATATTAATATATTGTATAAACTTACTCTTCGTGCAGATCTTGCGTGAGTCAACGCTGTATCTACGTGAGTGACCCCTTGTTCCATATCAGTGGTAATTTGGGTTGCATGCGCTTCAATTTGCTCAACCTGTTGATCTTGAATTTCGACCATAATTTGCATCTCTTGGAAAAGGTTTGCAAGTTCCTTTTGTCATAAACCAAAAAAATAATCAGCGGTCCATTTCCTTAATAATACAGCAGCTTAAAAATTAAACTTACTTCGATAGTTTTTTCAATCTTTTTTATTTCATCATGACGTTCTTGCACTTCTCGAAGAGCTTCACGTGCAGCACCATAACGAGTCGATTGCATTAACTAGAAAAAAATAAGAAATGAATATTTAACAGCTTATATTAGAAGAGTGTATTAGAAAAGTTATAAATACACGTACCGATTGTGCAAATATTTGACCGCCTTCATCGTTATCTAAAGCTGCATCAATTTCGTTTTGAGTTGCAGTGGGCTTAACTATTATTATTATTATTATTATTTATTAAATATTAATATAAGATGATATCAATGCTTATTGAATACAAAAACACAATATACCAATTTTATATTGTCGTTCCATTCGTTGTCTATATTTTTGACGATTTTGATATTCCGTTTGTTGATAAGTTTGTAATGTGTCTAAGAATTTTTTGCGTAAATTGGCGACCTAAAATTTACATATAATATTCATGAGAAAAGACTCCTTGGAAACAAATAAATGCTCATAAATTTAATTAAAGTGCACAATTTCAAAATTACCTGCGCTTTCCGTACGTCAATATCACCAGTATTCGAGGGTAACTTGGCGTTCATTGCCTCTATATTTCTAATTTTATTTTTCACTTGTTGCCCAAGGTTTCGTGTTTGTGCTGTTAGCGAATCGAGTTGATCTTTAATCGAGGCGTCTTCATTTATCGTAGCCAGAGATCTCCCGTGTAATTCCTCGATTGCATTAATATTTGCTTGCATTTGACGAATCGCTTCTTGAATTGAGGAGACCTTTGAAAAATCAATGGAATCAATGAATTGTCAAAACAATTTGGAATGGGAATAATTAATGTTTTCCGAAATAATAAAATTTAGAGCCCAAAATCATTTCGTGAAATGACACGAAAACTAATAATTATGAACAGAAAGGATGCGAGCTCGAAACGAGTGCAACTTGTGATTTTGAGAAAATCATCAACTAATTTTATAAACACCCCTTCATTATTCCATGATAAATATATGTGTGTATGATTAATTACCTCATCGAAAAATGAATTTACAGTTGAGACCGGTGTCAGCTCAACATCTTGTTGCGGAAATCCTTGATTAACCCTTCCACTACCATGCGATTGTGGTGGTGAACTATATTGATTGTATCCTCCTTGTTGATTGTATCCTCCTTGTTGATTGTATCCTCCTTGTTGATTGTATCCTCCTTGCTGATTGTATCCTCCTTGTGGTGCGTACACACCTGGATTACTATTAACAAAAATCAATTAATAAATATTCCCCAAAGAAAATCAAAAAAAAATGAAATTTTCTCGCGAATTTTACATACTTGACTGGTCCATAGCCGTTGTTGTAGTGATCCTAATAGTATTCAACAAGTTACATGTCAATCAATGTCTAAGGTTGCCGTATACCACACACTATAATCTTTTCATAGTTAAAAAAAAAATACCTGAAAAGCGTCTGTTCGGTCCCTACTCATTGTTTTTATATTTAGTCTTTCAAATGATTTTTTCAAAACAATTCCCTTTTTTTCTCAAAAATTGTAAGCTAGCGAAAACACAAGATGAAGATTATATTTTAAAGAATCTAAGAAAAGAAAAAAAGAGAAAAAGAGTGGGCAGAAAAAGAGTGGGAAGTAAAAGAGTGGGAAGTAAAAGAGTGGTTATACAACGGGATTGTTGAAAAGAGTAATAATGATAACAGAAGGTGGTGTTTAGTTGGCGTTCCTTGTGGAAAAATTGCACCAACCCAATTTTGATGTACATAATTTCTAATATTAGAAATGTAACTATGATTCAAAGACTATTTTTATGTTTGTGTGTACCTCTTTTTGAAGATCGTATGTAATCGATTTCGGCTTTCCATCCATATTGATCTGCACAAAAGCCAAATAACCGAAATATATATATGCAGTCGCTATTTCGTTAAATTGGATCGTTTAAAATACAACCCTCTGTAGAAATTTTACCCGCAAGGCTATTAATTTAGTAATTAAAATTTTTAAGAATTGGCACTGTGAATTTTAATTTAATTATTTTATGGAGAAATAATAAATTTACTAAAAATAAATTGGACCAAATTAAGCTACAGAAATGTTGTTCCACAATTCATATTGGGCATCCATGTAACGGATTATCAATCGTGCAACCTATTAACCATTATCATAATTTATTCTCTCCCACATGGACCACAATGAAGAGTGCAGGAGATCGCGAATTAAGGTGATACATTCTAACCAATTAAAAATACAATCAAACCTCTTTATAGTGATAGTCATATCTATTTATATTTCTTTATATCACTTTACATTTATATAAACATAGTAATCATTCAATCTTGCTTTTCTGAAAATAAAGATAAAACCTGAAATTATGTAATGCTAAATGTTATTCAGTTTAAATTATATTTAGAATAATCTAAGTTATTAAAATTTTATAATTAAAATAAATCATAAATAAGTGTTACCAGCTTAGAAATCCATTTTTATTTAAGAGTGATAATTACTTCAACTCATATAAATCAATTTTATTTTCATATAGCGATAGTCATTTTCAGTTTATATAAACTAAAAATAACTTAGATTAGATTATAATAGTCTCAGATGTGATGATAAGATCACATATGTGTCATTACTTAAGTGATTATACCTGAGACGATTATAGTCTACAGGTTGAATGATGATCAGTTATCTTTCATATCATCATCCTGAGGATTATTGAGACACGTGCTGAGGATAGGCACGCAGTGCCGTGACTTAACGATCAGAATGCGTTTGTCTCATCACATTAAATTACTTGATGTCCACTTTTTGTACGTGTTTTTCGCATCAGAGAGCTATGATCTTTCTAAGATTGATCGAGAGAGTGAGTCAAAAGCTATGTAATGGTGACTTGATTGATTTCATAACGTTGACATTGACCGAAATATGGACGTTCGAAGTCATGGCGCATGTTCCAGGAGGTAAAAGATATTATATCCTATCACCTAACAATTTAATTATATATAGATTATCTCATTGGGCTTGCAGTGATAAAAGATGCTATTAGTTTCAGGTTGGAGCTGAAAGTTATTTATGTAAGTGTTTTTTATGTCTTAGAAGAAAATATATATATAATTACATATTTTAGTCTATTAGTTTTTTGATACTCAAATAATGCTTTAGTATAATAAAAATTCTTTCAGTTTTATTACTCAATAAATATTGTTGTGAAAAGATAATATATAAATAATCAATTTGTAAATTTTAATTGTAAGAACTAAAAAATTATAGTCAAATTTCTTTATAGTTACATCCATTTATAATTACATCTCTCTATAGTCATTCTATTTTCCATTTACATATAAACATAGTGTTACTATTTTATATGATTTTAAGTCTTATTATGAAAAGAACATGTATTATTATATCAAGTGAAAGAGTTTATAAAATATATAGAAAGTTTGTCAAAGATTTCTTACAAATTACCACTCTATTATTCAAATTATTATGAAATAATATTACTTTTGTTTGAATTATTGATCAAGAAGAAGATTTCAACAAACTTAAGAAGCTACTTACAACTATGTCAATAGAACTTTAAGTAGGAGAGAAAATACAAGTATTTAAAAATAAGTAATGTATGTTTATTTTGTTGATCAGCTAAAATGAGACCAGAAAAATTCAAAGATAATTGTGTTCTTTTAAAAGTTGATTTATAAATAAATCAAATATAATTTTTTTTATTAATTCAATTATATATTATTAACTTCATTAATATAGATGAGAGATCAATTACAAATATTATAAGAAGTATAACTTCATAATAGTAATGAGAAATTATAAATCAAATAATAACAATAACTTCACAATTAAAATGAAAAGTTATATACAAAAACTATCTAAAGGATTATTAAAAAGATAAAATAAATTTAATTTACTGCTATAATTACTTTAAATAAAGAGTTTCTTCACTTTTTGTAAAAGAGTCATATAAATTAAAAAAGAGAAATAGACTAATAAAATTAGTCAGTACAAAAATAAATATCTAAGCCTATGTCAATTTTAACAAAAATTGTTAAAGAATTTTATTAAAAGATAAAAGAGAGGTTGTGAGAATATGTTCAAAAGAGCAATTAACTAATAGAGATTACTAATTAAATATAAAGATATTGATATTTCTATACTTATAGTTATATGTTCTAATACTTTCAATATCAAAAAAAATAAATTACTAAAAAAAATATTACTTATTTAAAATTATAATGCATTATTATATAAAAATAATACTATAACAAATCAATATGCTTATCCAAAAAAATTCTTTTTCAAATTTAAAGACAAAAATATAATAGTTAAAAATTCAATTATATACAAATTAATATTCAGTTTCTTGATCTCATTCAAGATTTATGAAAAGCAACTTGAATTACAAGATTTGAAGTTCAATCAACAAATTATTTTTTCCAGACAACTTGTTTTGACAGAAGAAGATACAAGGATAAATATTAATTTTATATCAATAAGGTAATTGTTAACTTATTGTGTTAAGATTAAAATTTATTAATTTGTTTAAGTATTGAAACATAAGATTAATATATGGGAGAGCATTCCTATTTATACAAAATTTGTCAATATATTTTAATTCTATCTATGTTATAAAAATATAAAAAGATATATATAAAAGATAGAAAAAGTAAATAGAAAAAGGTAGAAAAGATAAAAAGTAAGGGTAATAAAGGTAGAAAAGATAAATATTGAAGATAAAAAAGGTAGAAAAGTTAAATATCAAATGTAGAAAAGGTAGAAAAGGTAAATAAATAGGGTAGAAAAGGTAAAAAAGATAGATATCAAAGGTAAAAAAGGTAGAAAAGATAGATAAATAGGGTAGAAAAGATAGAAAAGATAGATAATTAGAGTAAAAAAAGATAGAAAAGATTAGATAAATAGAATATAAAAGGTAAAAGAGGTAGAAAATAAAGATAAAAAAAATAGAAAAGATAGAAAATAAAAATATAAAAGATAAAAAAGATAATTATTAAATAAAATATAAAAAATAGGAAAGATAGAAAATAAAGGTAGAAAAAAAGTAAATAATAGTTATTATATGATTATTAAATGTATTTTTTATCAATTTGTTATTTTGTTACTATTTTTGAGGATTTTCATATTTTCTACTATTTTTGAAAGATTTATTAATTATAGAATCATTGAAAATAAATATAATATTCGATCCATCTTCGAAGATTTTGTTCCACAAAATTTTAAAAATTCTTTCAGAATTCTTTAATTTTACTATTCTTCATTCATTGAATTTGAGTAATGTTACACATTTTTCACTAATAGGGTAATTAGCTAATAAACGCGAACAAGGGTTGGGAGAGATAATTAAACAAATATAAGAGGAATGTGAAAATAATATCTAAGTCCTATGCCAATTTCT